TCCTGATTCTTTCAAGGTCAAAAACCTTACATGTTTCAAATGAGCCAACTAACCACAGGTCCTACTTGGACTTGAATTTTAATTCTATGAACAATAACATCACCTTTGTTTAGACTAAAATGTTTTCAAAAGAGAAACTAAAGAAAGACCATCAGTGTGTTTATTTCTGACCATAACTCACAGCCTTCTACTCACAACCAATGTGAAGAAGCCTCTAGGATGAAAAGAAAAACGTCTTCAAGATAACCAGAAATGTCCAGCTGTTTTCATATTAAAGCTCAGGATGTCCAGGATGACAGAGAATCTTCACCTAATGCAGGAAATGTGAGCAGAAGTGGAAGAAATCTAGGTCACAGCCCTCATTTGAAGACCTGAGGTCTGCATGGTGTTCCTATCAAATGGCTGTAAAACGGCAAAATCCACTTTTTATCTGATATTATTAGCTCTAATAAGCATAACCTAAGAGTACTATTTTCTACCGTGGATGCGATTTGAAATCCTTCGTGTGCAGGTGGACTTAAAGCCTCCTCGACTACTGCTGAGAGGTTTCTGGCATAATTTGTAGGCAAAACTGAAACTATTCAAGCTCAAATTCCCAGAACAAAAGAATACATTTCTTGGCAAGAAATCTAAGAATAACTAATAAGGATTTTTTTATGTGCGGCTAATAAATGGGGTCAACATTAAGGAGGTAGATCAAGGATGACGATGGATAACGTACTCCCAGAATGTCCTGATTTGCTGAGTAGACCTGCCTCCAGAAAGCTTGAATAATATTACAAGACCAAAAACGATTAAAGAATGTTCCATTGGCAGTCTTACATTTACTACAGAGGCTGGAGCGGGTGGGGAACATCCTTTGAAGACGAACTGGTGATCTGTAGAAAAATCGGAAATTTTGTTCCTGTAGGGAAAGTGACCTTGTACCAATCCAAAGGGTTAATCTTGATCTCCAGATCATGCTCCCACACCCGCTTAAAAGAATCAAAACTTGAAGATTCCAGACTAAGTAGAGAGCCGTAAAACTTAGAGAGGAGGCCCCTAGGGGATCTGGAAAGAGTAAAAGTATTTTCCATTTCAGTTAGTTGCGAACGAAATGAGGCAGACCGTAACAGGGATTCAGTATAATGATTAATTTGAAGGTATTTGTAGAAGTCTTCGTGACCAATATTACCATTAGCCCTAATCTGGTCAAAGGGTTTAATAGAATTAGAGGACAACAGATCTGAGAAATCCCTCAGCCCCGAGGAGGACCAACTGAGAAGGCCAATACTCCGAATGTGAGGCGGTAGATCTGGATTTAAGGCCAGAGGGGACTGGATTGAAATAAAAGGTGGAATTCTCAAATACTTCTTCAAATCCCTCCAGGCCAATAATGTATTGTAAACCAATGTATTATCTTTGAGAGAGTCTATCTGGTCCAACTTAACAATGTAAGGAAGGGAGGTTAGTCTTCTAGGAAGACAGGCCAGAGTTTCCTACTCAACCTACAGGGATGACTCTCTGTTCAAGAACCAGTCTGATCTAGTTTTGAGTTGCGAGCACCAATAATAAAATTGTATGTTAGGTAGGGAGAGGCCTCCTAGTTGCTTCGATTTAGTAAGCGTAGAAATTTTTATTCTTTGATGTTTATTGTTCCAAATAAAACATGAAATCTCTGAGTTGAGGGATTTAAAGAACGAGGGGGGTAAATAACAGGGGAGGTTCTGAAATAAATAATTAAGATGCGGGAGGATGTTCATTTTTATTGTATTGACCCTGCTCAGCAAGGACGTGGGTAGAATGGACCATCTGGTTAAATCAGATTTAATTCTTTGGATGAGAGGAGCGTAATTGGTTGAGAAAAGATCAGCCAGGACGGGTGTAATAAAGATTCCTAAATACCTGAATCCCTTCATAGAGATTTGGAAAGTGGAATGGGGGACCTCGGCCTGAGAAATATTGAAAGGGCAAGCAATCGATTTATCCATATTGATTTTGTAGCCAGAGAGGGTGCCAAATTTAGCTATGGACCTGCAGACCGCCGGAATCGAGATAGATGGATTAGTCAAATATAGGAGGATATCGTCCGCAAAAAGGGAAATCACGTGGTTGGTATCAGCTGCCCTAACGCCTAGTATATCTGGATTGGTTCTGATAATGACAGCTAGAGGTTCAATAAAGAGAGTAAACAATAGAGGGGACAGGGGGCAACCCTGTCTGCACCCCCTTCTTATAGGAAAACTGTCTGACAATAAACTGTTTGTGTTAACAGTAGCTGTGGGATTAGAATAAAAAGATTGAATTAAATTGGTAAAGTTAGGCCCCAGGCCGAATCTTTCTAACACAGAGATTAGACATGGCCATTCTACCCGGTCGAAAGCTTTTTCGGCATCAAGGGAGATGATCACAGCAGGGTCTTTATGTTGGTTGAGATACTGAACAATATTAAGGGCTCGGCGTACGTTGTCGGTCCCATACCTTGATTTGACGAAGCCTACTTGGTCCGGGTGAATTAATTTTGGAGGAACCTTTTACAATCTGCGTGCTAGAACCTTCGCCACGATTTTATAGTCCACATTAAGAAGGCTAATGGGTCTATAAGATGTGCAGTTGAGGGGATTTTAGGTTTTTTTTTTAGAAGCAGACTAATAGAAGCAGATCTCCACGATGGGGGGATCCCATCTAGTTTGATATGATTTAGAGCCGGCGGGAAAATAGGTTGAATCTCCGGCCAGAACTTTTTTAAAAATTCCACCGGGAACCCATCTGGGCCAGGGGATTTTCCGTTTGGCATTGACTGGATTGCTGCCCATACCTCATTCAGGCTAAAGGCTACATCAAGAGAAAATAGGTCCTCTTCCGAGATAGAAGGCAAAGAGATATTGTTTAAATAAGCAACTCCATCTGGATGACACTGTCCTGCCGAATAAAGGGATTTATAGAAATCTCTAAAAGTCTCATTAATAGTTGACGGATCATAAGTGACTTCCCCTCTATCCATTTTTATTGCAGTAATGGATCGCTCACTAATCTGTTTTTTTAATTGGTGTGCGAGGATGCGGCTCAATCTGTTGCCAAATTCATAATAGTTCTGCTTAGTATAGAAAAGCAGTTTTTGAGCGTGATTAGTGTATTCTATATTAAGCTTAGTTCTGACAGCAATTAATGCCTTGAAATTTTCCGGGGTGGGAGATTGCTTATGGGTCTGTTCCAGCCTAATCACTTCGGATTCAAGAAACCTTCTGTTTTTCTCCATTGTTTTCTTTCTGAAAGAGCAATAGGAGATGAGATGACCATGCACGGTAGCCTTTGCTGCGTCCCATATTATAGTGGGCGAATGGTGAAAGGCTATTTTCTGCCCAATATTGAGAGAGACTTTTTCATACAAAGGCGCAGGAGGAGTCGTCGTTTAGTAGTGATGTATTATATTTCCAGATAGGGATCCTAGGAATGTCAGAAATTAAATCACTCTGTAGATAAACAGGGGCATGATCTGAGATGATGATCAGGCCAATTAAACAAGATTGAACAGAATAGAGAAAGTTTTTAGGGGTAAAAAAAGAATCAAGTCTAGAGTGTGAATTATGGGGATGTGAAAAGAAAGAGTAATCCTTCGTATTAGGGTCCAGCATGCGCCAGATATCGATTAGCCCAGAATCCATACATAAACCTTTGAGAGTTGACGAAGCCCTTGGGTTAGATACCGGTGCCAATGAGGATTTATCCAACCTGGCATTTAGTATGCAGTTGAAATCGCCACCCATAAAGCCCAAACCATCACAGTGTTGATTAAAAGGTAGCACTATTTGAGATATAAAATTCGGTGAGTCTGTGTTGGGGGCATAAACATTGAGTATAGTAATGGGGAGTCCAAAAATCAAACCCTTAATCAAAATAAATCTCCCCTCAGGGTCCCTTACATCATGCAGGAGGGTGAAGGGAATATTCCTCTTTAAAAGAATAGCCGTGCCCCTTTTATTCTGCGAATGGGATGAAAAATAAGCTTGACCTACCCAGTCTCGTTTGAGCTTTGAATGCTCCAAGTCAGATAGCCTGGTTTCCTGGAGAAGCGCTATGTCAATCTTTTGTCTCTTCAGAAAAGTTAAGACCTTTTTCCTTTTAATCACATGACCTAAGCCCTGGACATTCCAGGTAACAAAATTAAGTAGGCGGGTCATAATGAGTCAGAATAAACACCACTGTGAAATAGGAAAGGGCCAAAAGAGGTACAAATGCAAAGAGAAACAATAAACAATGACATAGCACATAGCATAAGCACTTAGCAATGGGGGTCTGGAGAGTAACAGAACCGACCCAATAAAAGTCAGTACTCATGATCTATGTCTAATTCCTCGTTACCTCATTTAAGCGAGTCCAAGAAGGCAGCAGCCGACCCGGGGGGGGTCAAAGCAAAGGATCCGGCCCTCGTGGAGACACCAGAGCCGAGCTGGAAAATTAATTAATTAAATCCATTGCTGAAAAAAATGATTTCCAGAGGAAATGCAGAGAAGCGCTTTGTAGGCAGACGGGACAAAAAGAGCCTTGGGAAAAGCAGATAAGGGAGCAAAGCAGAAGCGACTGTTTTCTGTGTAGGATTCAAATTTTACAGCACTCTCACGGAGTAAAGGTTCAGCAGATATATTTGTTTACATTTTTGCCCCCGCGCGCCTACAGTGTTAGGGAAAGGAAGGGAGGGGCCTCCGCGATGCTGCTGTCAGGGAATCTCTAGGCTCCACAGTAGCAGCGACGGACGGCTGGTTTGACAGGCTCTGAGAGGCGTTAATCAGAATTTGCAGATAACGTTTTTTTCCTTCTACCAGTCGCATACTGATATCTGGACTTAAAAGCAACTCATTATATTCATATTTATTTGTTAAAGTAATGCATTACCATAAATAGTAATGTGTTTACCAACATTGGTTATGTATATTACTGATTGCAAAAACACCCCTAGGTCTTTTGTCTTGTCGTTTTACTGAATATTTTTCTTTTATATATTTCTGCTTGGTTCAATGCAGTTTCAAGGAAGAGAGAAGAGACGGATGAGAAACCTCTGCTCTTACATTTCCACAACCATCAAATGGAAGATGGAGGTGTCCTAACCAGGAGCTTGGCTGGGCAGATGACAGCAAAAGTTGGTGGAGGAGCAGAAACTAGCAAGAACCTAGATCTGAACCCTAATGAAAAGACATCTGATTCTTCAGAGATTGAAGTTAGTGGAGAAGATAATGATGATGTGAATCTAGACTCTGAGCATTCAGACTCTGGGCCTGAAACTGGAAACGGAGACCATGGCTGTAATGAGAACAAGTCTTCAGAGTCAGATATTAAGATCGTCAACAAATCATTTAGCTGCCCTGTGTGTGGTATACAGTTCCTCCACAAGTGGTCTCTTCTGGAACATGTGAGAATGACAAGTCATTCAGCAGTAAAGTCTTCAGAGTGTTCGGTTAATACAAAATGTGTGAAAGAGAAGCAACGTGGAGGCTCATGTAGAAGAGTTGAGAAAGAACCAAAATCATTTAGTTGTGATGACTGTGGGAAAAGATTTAGCCAAACGTCCAATTTAACCCATCATATGAAAGGCCACACTGAGCAGAAGCCTTTTTCCTGTGAGCTCTGTGGGCAAAGATTTAGCCAGAAAAATAGTTTAAACACACACATGAGAGTCCACACAGGAGAGAAGCCTTTTGCCTGTGAGCTCTGTGGATACAGATGTACCCAAAAGGCACATTTAAACACACACATGAGAGTCCACACAGGAGAGAAGCCTTTTGCATGTGAGCTCTGTGGATTCAGATGTATCCAAAAGGCAACTTTAAACACACACATGAGAGTCCACACAGGAGAGAAGCCTTTTGCTTGTGAGCTCTGTGGACAAAGATTTAGCCGTAAACATAATTTAAACACACACATGAAAGTTCACACAGGAGAGAAGCCTTTTGCCTGTGAGCTCTGTGGATACAGATGTGCCCAAAAGTCACATTTAAACGATCACATGAAAGTCCACACTGGAGAGAAGCCTTTTGCCTGTGAGCTTTGTAGATACAGATGTACCCAAAAGTCAAGTTTGAACAATCACATTAAAGTCCACACAGGAGAGAAGCCTTTTGCCTGTGAGCTTTGTGGATACAGATGTACCAGAAAGTCACATTTAAATGATCACATGAGAGTCCACACAGGAGAGAAGCCGTTTGCTTGTGACCTCTGTGGGAATAGATTTAGTGAAAAGGGAAGTTTAAACACACACATGAGAGTCCACACAGGACATAAGCCTTTTGCTTGTGAGCTCTGTGGGAAAAGATTTAGCCATAAAAATAGTTTAAACTGTCACATGAGAGTCCACACAGGAGAGAAGCCTTTTGCCTGTGAGCTCTGTGGGAAAAGATTTAGTCGTAACCATAGTTTAAACACACACATGAGAGTCCACACAGGAGAGAAGCCTTTGACTGTGAGCTGTGTGGACAAAGATTTAGCCGAAAGACACATTTAAAGAGACATACGAGCATCCACATAAGGCTCAAGGGATTTATTTAACAACAGTACTTCCAAATGTTGTATTTAGTTTTTTTTACAACCTTAATATTAGTCTTGTACCTCTGCTCAATTATCGTTGATCGGCCCATGAGCCACCTCTTCTTTTGATTTTCATATTCAATTCTCCTTTGTTTTTTAAACTCAGACCTTAACCAAACAATTGAGATGTTCATTCATGAATTCTGAATACAAAAAAATATTACTTAAAGATTAAGAAAAAAACTGTTATACTCTCCTGTATTTAATAAACAGACTGATGGTTGTAGTACATAACTCACTGTAATTTAAAGCCGTTAGATACCAGTGGCGTCTGCTTTAAACAATTTGTCTGTATATAAAATAATAGCATACAATGTTGTAATAACTGCAGTTTTAAAAGAATGTGTCTTTATTCATTTGGAGCCCCTAAGAAGAAATCCCACCGTAAAGGCTGTGGAGAGACAGCTGGGTCTGTTGTCAAGAAGTCATAAAAAGAAGTCATAAATTGCAATGCGGCTCTGTGGAGACTCCATTCTCCTACAATAGCATTTTACTATTCTAAGCAGGCTTAGGAATGTGCCTTTACCAGAGTTTTTAGAGATGCTGTTGTAGAGTTATAAGCAGTGGACAGATGCCGGAAAGACAGAACCACTTTTGGGCTGCATGGTTCTCCACCGGTGTACAGATGTATTAACATGTACTAGATTGTAATAAACGGTTATCTTTTTAACTCAAACTTTGCTATGATTGAGTCATAGCACTCCAAGAAACAGCTCAGCATGAAAATTAACCACATTCCCTTTATTTCTGATGACACAACTAAGCACTGCTGGTGGACATTTAATCACAGACACTTAGCACTTCTGCATGCGTTCTGTATTCAGTGTGAACGAGGCTTCATGCCCTCTCTCTGTAGCGCAGCATCGTGCGGTTGTCCTGTTCTGATTTTTTTCATGTAGTTGTGGTTTAGGCATTTGTTTGCCATTATCACTGATAAAAGCTGTGGGTTTATTCATTTGTGAATTAATTAAGCAATACAGATCACAGTCCAATGTTTTTGTTTTGTTTTGATTTTTAAGTAAGGTTCAGCAAAAGCTGTCGAATCACTGATAGCCATCATCTGGGAAATGAAATATGAACTGTTTCCACGTACCACTGTAATGTGCTTGCATACCACTAGGCAGAAGAAAAAATATTTGTATATAGCATCTCTCAAGATAAGCTCACAAGGCGCTTTATAAGAACGACAAAACTAAAAAAGAAAAAAAAAGGCAAAGACCATAATAAAAACACAAAAAAAAGGGAAATATTTAGACTAAAAATGAATCCTGAAAAAGACGGACCTGACAGAGCCAGTATTGTGAAAAAAGCTACTGAGGAAGAATCATGAACAATGTGTGTTTAGATGGTAAATTACAGAGTTCAGAGCGGTTCTGGTTCAGTCCACTGTTGGATCATCAACACTTGACAGGAGACATGATCGTCTTTTATACAGAATGTCTTGTGTCTTCATCTGTCTGGGGCTATTATGATGGTTTAATTTTTGAGTTATTTGAACATTAAAGGTTCTCTGCAGACCTGTTAAGAGTGTCCTCCATCATTCAGGTGTTATGAGTGTGTTCTGTTCCAGAATGATTTGTAGTCGGTCAGATGATTTCCTCATCAGGTTGCAGCTTTCACGTCATTTCTTGTTGATTCTTGATCTTCAGTCTCTCCCTGTTCAGATCAGAACCCATCAAAAGTCAAATCAATCAACTTTTATTTATATAGCGCCTTCCACCAACCTTGCGTGGGCCCAAGGTGCTGAACATGACAGAATAAAATCACAAAAGAGCAATAAGGACAATATAAACAACATTAAAACAAATAGATAAAAAGGTCACAACACAAGCAATTAAGATAAAAACCCATCACAGGAAACCAGACGATAAAAACGAGTCTTCTCTTAAAAACCTGCAGCGATGGTGATGGTTGAATAATGAGCGGCAGCTCATTCCAGAAAGACAGATGTGTGTTTCTCTGTAAGTGGGTCACTCTGAACATCAGAGCCTGATTTCTTCTATCGTAGATTATGTTAGACGTTTGTAGCATTTAAAACATTAATTATGACCAATAAGATGTGATACAGTGATCCCACGTTTATCGCAGTAGATGCGTTCCAGACCTGGCCGCGATAGGTGAAAATCCACGAAGTAGGGACACCATATTTACAGTATTTATTTACAGTATTTATTCAGTATTCAGACTTTTAAAACCCTCCCTTTACATAGAAATTTTTTTACATGGTTTATTTATAGTTTTATTACAAAAAGTGCATTTTATGATGAAATTGATGAAAAAAAACAGGAATTTCTTGATATGTCGCATAGAAAAATACCGCGAATCGGTGAAAAATACCGCGAATCAGCGAATTTCCCTTGAATAAGGCTCCAACGAAAAAATCAGCGAAGTCGTGAAACCGCGATAAACGAACCGCGAAGTAGCGAGGGATCACTGTATTCCATACAAATATGAAACATCAGTCTGATCTTTGAATGTTTAATCAGAAGATTCTAGGGTTCTTTACTTATTCAGGGACCATAAACACACTTCGTATTAATTCAGACAGAGTCAGTATATAATTTATAAAATTAATTTAATCATGTTTCCTAAACTAATGATACATGACAAGATATGAATAATGGGAGGTGGTGTGGTGGAAGCTAGATGTTGTTGCAACCGTTCTTTGTATCTGAGAGAAATTGTGAAATTTGGGTGTAAAAGAGTTTGTTGTTTGTTATAAACTAGAGAGTTGTTTATTGATAAAAACCTCATCAGACTCCAGTATGCAGGCTTACGATACCCTGGTATGAGTTGCTCCCGGCGGTCCGGAGGGTTGCGGTCAGAGTGGTGAGGTCACCGGACGTCGAAACCACGATACTCAGAGATTAGTAGCTTCCTCTGAGTTCAGCTTCCCCGGCCATGAGATGCAACCCGGGGTCTGCAGGTTAGGTGTCCAAGGTGGATGTCTGAGAAGTGAAGTAGCTCTGAAAAGAGCTGTTGTGTCTGTAATCACTTGCAGCATCACAGAAAGGTTTTGACTTAAGGTCAAAGGTGATTGTTTCAAAAGAGATGCTTCTTTCCCGATTTGGCCGGTTCGAGGGTCAGTGAGAAACTGAGTTATTCGGGATTACTTTGTTATGATTTCTGGCCAAGTTTGGCCAATCAGAAATTGACACGTTTCTGAGTATTTACCAACATCCCTCAGAAAGCCACGCCCTCCTCAGATACAAAGATGTTTTTAACACTGTGAATGAGAATGTCTTAAAACTCTTGTGTGAGGTGTATGAGTGTAAACAATGATTAACTTGTTAAATCAAACACATGGTGATTTGTGATATAAATGGATCATTGTAAGAACAGTATTCATTTCTAATTCATTGATTTAAGCACAGGTTATTCAAACATTTCATTTAAACATCTTGTTCATTAATCACATATGATTATTTAACTTATAACTATAAAATCAGGGAGTCTTCACTTATTCAGAGTGAACAATGTTGGCGTCTGGCTTTCACAGAGAGTGCAGGAACCTTGGGAGAGAATGTTTGTCTGGATGTTTTGTCTTCTGTATGTAAAAACGCACTGAACAGAACCTTCTGGTTCTGGAAGTCCAAATAGAAAGTGGATTTATGCTGATGAAAGGTCACTATGTTGGTCAATGTGGATGGTGAAAATTTGACCCTTTTGGTACGTTACATGTTTGTGAAGATCAACTCTTTTTTTTTTCCCCATGTCCTGTCTGGCTGTGAAGCAAACAGAATTCATGTCTGAATGCTGCAGCCTTACAGATTTACTCTCAGTTGGATTATCAAAGCGACTGCTTTTAATGTCATGCCTGATACTTAAAACTTAATTGTTACTGTTTTTGAATGCTTTGTAATTTCGACCAGACATGGAGTCAGAGGTGAAAGAGAAAGGAAAAGACAAAAGGTGGGGAGAGGGGGGGTTCCCACAAAAATAAACAATAATGAACAAGAGTCTGCTTCTAGACCTGCAGAAAGAGAAAAAATAGAAAAAAAGGGACACAAAACAATACAACAGGAGCAAGCTATCACTGTGTCAGCCGGATGAGGACATTTAAAATCAACATTGTTTAACTGAACAATCACACTATAATAAATCACAGTGCATTTCGTGCCAACCATAGCCTTAAGACATGTGTTGAACGTGCCCAAGTCCATACTTATGAGAGCACCATGTGAGCACCTGTGTGTTGATGAGTTGTATTCCATGGCTGTGGTGAGCGGGCAGTGCGGGCGTTGTCTGGCCTTTGCCAGCTGATTACACCGCACCACCCCACGCACCTAGAGCCCTCGGTGTCTAAGTGCAGTTTAAAGTTGGAAGTGGGCCCCGGCACTCGGGATGAGGCTGAGAAATCCCCCTGCCAACTGCCGTTGAATGTGCTCACTCCCAAGGCCCTTAGTGTGTGTTTGCGTGGAATGTCGTTGGTGGAAGTGTTTAAGGTGCAAATAAAATTGAGTGGCAGGTTGCCACAGGAATGCGGAAATGGGGTCCATACCCGCACTCCCTGCTTGTCCACCCCCCAAGGTCCTATGTGCATGTTTGAGTGATGATGTGAGGGAGCAGGAGGGGAAAAATATGCAGGGATGGGGAGGAATGGCTGGTTGGGCTTAGCCCTCCAGGGAACCAGCTCCCCCACTGGCCCCAATAGGCACCTCTGTTGTCAAAATGCCACCCAGGGCATGGAGACCCCAGCCCATCTTGCCAGGGCCCAAAGCAGCAGCATTGCAGACCCTCACAGAGTCCGAGGGCACCAACCCAGCCCCACCCCAGCAGAATATCTACGCCCATCCCTGCATTTGCACAACTTCCAGAATAAATAAGACATAGGACATCCAGGTAAGGTTGGGTTCTCCCCCTCCTGGACCTCCCCCTCCCCTGTGATGGGACAGCAGAGGAGCCAAGGTCTACCCGAGGCCCCTGAACCCGGGCCAGGCACTGCTGCATGTTCCTGCCTTCGGCAGCATACATGTCAGGACCCGACCCCCAAGGCCCCGCCCAGATCCCCACACGGGGCCGGCCATATTGGAATATTTTCATTTGAGAATATTATGATTTAAAGTGGAAGCAGAGGATAAATCAAGTGTAATGTGATCTAACTAAAGATTTCTATACTGGTTAATGCAGAGTTTCTCTATTTTTCCAATTCAAAAGGATAGTTTTCTTGGCCAGGGGCGTGTCCAGGGAGTGGCCTGGGGAAGCACATGCCACCCTTGGAATCTGACTGGCCACCCCAGGTGCCACCACACTAATTTACCTTTAAATAGGCTTTTCATTGTCCACAAAAGGCTTGGGGGTAAAACAAAAAAAGCATAACCATTGGTGCCACCCATGCACAAAGTTGTGCCTCACCTGGGCCACCCCATTTTAAAAGATCTGGACACGCCACTGTTCTTAGCGATGCATATGGAGGTCAGAACCACGTGAACCAAAGATGTTTCAATCAGGACATCGTCCAGGTTACCCAGTAAACAAAGAGAGGGGGAAGTTGGCATGTGACATTTTAGACACTTTGACAGATCTTCACATACTCTACCCCAAAATTCCTGGACAGGTGGACAGGACCACAGTGTGTGAATGTAATTGTCAGGAATGTTGTTTGTGCAGTGTGTACAGGTGTCAGATGACACAAACCCCATTTTGGCCTGTATAGTGTACTCTGTGTAGAATTTTGTACTGAATTAATTGTAAATTGGAGTGTCTGATCATTTTAAAAGTTTTTAAACAAGTTTGGGACCAGAAGTTCTGGTCAAAGCTAACTGATAGATCTACCTCCCATTTTTCAATAGGGATTGCAATTTTATCATCTATTTTGGACAGTGTCTTATAAACTTTAGACAGTAGTTTGGGGGGGTTGAGATTATAGAAGTCAGTTACCCTTGGTGGTGTTTGTAATTCTATTTTATTGAGCTTAAATTTTTTGTTTGACTACAGATTTAATTTGGTGATATTCTAAAAAGCTATTCTTATCCATTCCAAATTGGGAGATTATTCTATTAAATGGGATGAAGTCCAATCCTTCATATATGTGTTCCAGGTATAGGATTCCTTTGTTTTTCCAGTCCGGAAGGTTCATCATTTGGTTATTTTGCAAAATATCAGGATTATTCCAGATAGGTGTGCATCTGCATGGTATTAGTGAAGACTCTGTCACTTTTAGATACTCCCATCATGCTGTCAGAGAGGTGCTGATACAAATACTTTTGAAGCTTTCATGTTTTCTTATGCTTGAGCTAATAAATGGTAAGTCTGAAAGCTCTATCGTATTGCAAAGTGTCTGTTCTATATCTAACCAAGACTCATCTAATGGGTTATCTTGCAACCATCTTGGTATATATTGCAGCCTGTTGGCTAAGAAATAATAATAAAAATTGAGTAAATCCAGTCCTCCTCTGTCTTTGGTCTCCTGAAGCGTTTTTAAGCTAATTCATGGAGGTTTATCCTGCCAAAGGAATTTAGTAATTGAGTCCAGAGATTTATACCAGTCAGCTGGTGGTTTGTTTGGGATCATTGAAAATAAGCAATTTATTCTGGGTAAGACC